AAAATGAGGCTGAGGCAGGAGGATTGTAAGTTAAGGGCCAACTTTGGCAACTTAACAAGGTCGTGTCTTTAAAAAAAAAAAAAAAGATAAATAAAAATAAAAAAGGCTGGGATGTAGCTGAGTGCCCCTAGGTTCAATCCCCAGGACTGCAAGAATAAAATAAAAGGACTCGGAGTGTAGCTCTAAGTGGTGGTGGAGTTCTTGCTCTGGATTCAATCTCTAGTAACGCGCGCGCGCACACACACACACACACACACACAGAAAATTAAACTCTGGGATGAGACACAGCCCTAGGGAACTGTTAGCTAGTAGAGTGAATGATCTGAATGCCGGGCTGAGCAGCATCTACATAAGGGGACAGCAGGTGGCCTGCTCCTATGCTTTATTTTGGTCTGCAGGGTATCAAAAATAGTGCCAAGGGCCGGCCATGTAGCTCAGTGACGACAGAGTGCTTGCCTACCATGTGTCAGGCTCTGGATTTGATCCCCAGCACAGAAAGAGGTGGGGCAGGCAGGAAAAGAACTTGAATAGGCATTTTTGTTTTGGGTGCTGAAGATTGAATCCACTGAGTTACATGTATCTCCAGCCCCACTTCCTTTTCTTTTTTGAGTCAGGGTCCTGTCAAGCGGCTGAGGGTCTTGCCAAGTTGATGAGGTTGGCCTAGAAATTGTGATCCTCCTGTCTCAGCCTCCCAAGTTGTTGGATTTACAGGGGTGCACCACAGCACCTGGTGTGAATAGACATTTCTCCCAAGAAGATACACAAAGGTCTCATAAGCACTTTAAAAGAGGCTCAACATCACTGATCATTAGGGAAACACAAATCAAAAACCCAGAGAAGAGCTGGGCCTGTAATCCCAGTGGCTTGGGAGGCTGAGGCAGGAGGATTGAGAGTTCAAAGCCAGCCTCAGCAAAAGTGAGTTGCCAAGCAACTCAGTGAGACCCTGTCTCCAAATAAAATACAAAGTAGGGCTGAGGATGTGGCTGAGTGGTCAAGTGCCTCTGAGTTCAATCCTCAATCCACCCTCCCAAATAAACAAAAAGGACTGGGGACATAGCTCAGTGGTACAGCACCCATGGGTTCAATAGCCAGTACTGGGGAAAAAATAAAGGAAGGTCATTTGATATCTGCTCCGACATGAATGAATCTTGAGGACATTATAAAATAAACCAGATTCAAATGGACAAATATCACATGATTCCACCTCTCTGAGGTCACTAGAGTTGTCAAATTTCTAGGGACAAAGTAGAACTGTGGGTGCCAGAGCCCGGGGTTGGGGGGAACTGGGAGTTAGTACTTAATGAGGATAGTTTCAGATTGGGGAGATGAAAAAGTTTTGGAGGGCTGGGGATGTGGCTCAAGCGGTAGCGCGCTCGCCTGGCATGCGTGCGGCCCGGGTTCGATCCTCAGCACCACATACCAACAAAAATGTTGTGTCCGCCGAGAACTAAAAAATAAATAATAAAAATTCTCTCTCTCTCCTCTCTCGCTCTCTCTTTAAAAAAAAAAAAAAAAAGTTTTGGAGGTGGATGGTACTAATGGTTTCACGACAATGTGGTTGTATTTAACTCCCTGAGAGGCATTTCAAAACGGTCAAAATGGTAATTTTTGCTTTATGTATTTCACCACAGTTAAAAAAAAAAGTGTCAAGGTGAACAAATGAGATATCAAGGTGCAACTGTAGTAGACATCGCCCAGATTCCCTAGTGCCTGAATCTCCTCCCCTTGGTCACAGGGAAGACTACTCCCCAGCACCCTTTAGTTGAGTTTGGTCATAGGGACTCAGGGCACTGGAGACATGTGACTCTGCACTGATCTGCCCTTGCCCTGCGATGGCTTTGCAATGAGGTGGACAACTTATGAATTCTAATGACTTGGGCTGCTCAGACCAGCTGTCCTGGAAAGTCAAACTCAAGCTGAACAGAGGACACGCAGGGGACAAGGCATCTTTGTTTCACATTAAGCTGTTGAGATGTTGAGGATGTTTGTTACTGCAGCACAACACATTCTGAAACAATAGCCTCTCATGTGCAAGGGCAGATCTGGAACTCCTGGGGGTGGTCCCAGGATGGAGCTGTAGGGAGTCATTCCCTCTACCTGTTGTCCCGTGTTCCTACCTCTTTTTTTTTTTTTAAGTTGTCGGTGGATTCAATGCCTTTTATTTATTTATTTATTTTTTATGTGGTGCTGAGGATCGAACCCAGGGCCTCACACATGCTAGGCGAGCGCTCCACCACTGAGCCACAACCCCAGCCCCTCCTGTCTGACTCGTGCAGGTACTTGAATCTGGAAAGGTGTAGTAATCTGTTCAGGCTGCCATGATAAAGTACCACAGATTGAGTGGTGTAAACAATAGAAACTTATTGTTTCAAGTTCTAGAGACTTGAAGTTCAAGATCAAGGTGTTGGATCTCAGAGGGCTGGTTCCTCCTGAAGGCTGAGAGGGGAGGATCTGTCTTAGCCTCTTTGGAGTGTAAATGGTGGTCTCTTGTTCATGTTTTTCCACATTGTCTTCCCTCTATATCTGCCTTCTCCAAAATCCCCCCCCCCCTTTTTTTTTTTATAAAAAGACACCAGTCATTTTGGATTGGGGCCTACCCCACTCCAGTATGACATCATCTTAATGAATTACATCTGCAATGACCCCATTTCCAAATAAGGTCACATTTTGAGGTATTGGAAGTTATTGAGGTATATGAACATGAATTTTGTGGGGAGATCACTCAACCCATAAGAGACCGCCTCCCAGAGGAAGGAGCTAGGCCAAGTGGGCAGGTCTGGGCAGGGATGCCCTGGGGGAAGCAGAAGGAATCAAGTGAGCAGGTCTTTTTAGCAGGAGTGGCTCTTGAAGGTTCTTCAGAGATTTCCTGTGTTCACAGAAATTGGGTGTGCAAATGAGTGTGTGTGTGTATGTTGGAGGGGGTGGGTTCTTGCCTCTTGCTCATCTCTGGGGACAAGAGATCAAGAGGCGAAGAGACAGTGCAAGGACCCTGGGAAGGGGCTGTCAAGGTCTGATCTTTGGGGTTTGTTTTTGACTTTCTGCTGATTGTAGAAATGCATTGATGTGGGTGGGGGTGGGCACAGAATGGAGGCAGGCAGGAAGGGGAGCTTTCAAAGCCGTAGCCATGGGAAATGTTTTTATTTTCTGCTTGAAAGAAAATGCCAAAGAAGGATAAAAGGAAAAAAAAAATAGGGAGGGAGGTGAAGAGAGTGAATATATGTGAGTGCTCGCACACGCACACGTGTGTGTGTGTGTGTGTGTGTGTGTGTGTGTGTGTGTGTGAGAGAGAGAGAGAGAGAGAGAGAGAGAGAGAGAGAGAGAGAATATCTGGGAGCCCATTGGCCCAGCAACCTGGGAAGGGTGAGACCCTGCCATTCCCTCCTTTGACATGTTCCCACTGGCCAGGGGGCACCAGCCTGCAGGAGGGAGCTGGGCAGAGCCATGGCAGGCCTAATTGCTGCCACTCTGAATGGGTGGCCTTAGGTTTCCCCACTTCTAAGACACACTCGGAATGTGTACCAGCAGCAGGGAGAGCCGCTGAGGGACACCTTGTGCAAAATCAGAAGGCCCCAAGGGAACCCCCGTAATCCCAGTTACTTAGGAGGCTAAAGCAGGAGGATCCCAAGTTTGAGGTCGGTCTGGGCAACTTAGGTAGGACCCTGTCGCAAGATAAAACTTAAAAAGGGGGGGGCTATAGTTCAGTGGTAGAGCACTTGCCTAACAGGCTGGCCCATGGTCCTCCTGAACTCCAGAGGAATGCTGCCTTGGGTTAGCCAGACCTCACCCAATCTCTACTTGCCCCAGGCCAAACCAGGGACTCCCACCAATCTCAGACCTCCGTTGCCTCCCCTCCCCCCACCAGGGGTAGGAGAAATTCCACAGTAGCCAAGAGAGAGGACTGAAAGGCTATAGGTGGGGGTGGCAAGGCAGGTGGTCAGCTTGTTGGGTGTGCTGAGGGGCTGGGAGTGTAGCTGACCGGTAGAGAGCTTAGCTTTAACACACACGAGCTAGGGGTTCCATGCCCAGCACACACACACACACACACACACACACACACACACACACACACACAAGTGAGGAGATGCTGGGGTTTCCCGTTTCAGTCACTCTGCCTGGCTTAGTAGATGATGCTGCCACTTTCCAGCTGTGTGATTGTCCCTTTTCCTTTCTGCCCCTCAAGCAGAAATGGATAGGACAGTAACCAAATCACAGGTCCAGGGGAGAGATGCCCAGGACATCCCAGGGAACTTTCAGAGACAGGAAAACAGGGGGAGGGGGGGCTGGCAGCCCGATCCGGAGGCACCACGTGGGTTAGGGTGGGAGGCAAGGAGGGCCTCTGGGGGCCGGGTTGGCAGTGGAATTTGCTCCAGAACCCTTAGCATGCACGGGCCTGCTGGGGAGGTGCAGAAGCCCAAACAAAGCAGGGACCAGGGGTGGGGGAGGGGAGTGGAACTTCTGAGAGACTAGGCAGCCCCCTCCTGGGACACGGACTCCCCACCTAGGTGCAGTGTCCCTCCCCAAACACACGTGCTGCCAAGCCCTCCATTAGTCACCCTGGCACTGACATACATAAATCCCATTAGTCACACCCCACACAAACTCGCTGCGGAACACACCCAGTCACACCCAGACAAAGACCGAGGCCCCCTAAGACAGAGGCCCGGCTTGTCGGTGGGGGCTGGTTCCCCAGGGCCTAGTACAGTGCAGCGAAGCTCAGGCGCCGGACACCTCCTTCCCAGAGTAGCCGATCCTCCATTTCCAAACCGCCACAACCTGCCCACAGCCCCCAAATAGTCACAGTGCCCTACCCCCACCACAAATCGTCCCCATCCCCTGTAGGCACACATACCACAATAAACGCCCTTGGCCACCCCCTCTTGTGTCTCTGGGGTGGGGGTAGGGCTGACTCTGGCCCCCTCCCCCAAGCCTGTCCTCGGACGGGTCTGGCAGGAAACATTCCCCAAGGTCACCCGAGCTCTTCAGCAGGCGGCCCCAGGAGCTGATTTATTGGCGGTTTATTTGGAGAAACGCTATCGCTCTCAGATTCCGGGGGGGGAAAAAAAAAACGCTCGCGGTGGACTTTAACCTTGGGCTGAAACCGCAGCGCTTTGTTTTCCGCGGCGCTTCCTGGGGCCTAGCAGGGGCGGCTCGGGCGGAATGTGGCTCTGCAGCCTCTCCGCTCCCAGGCTGCCGCCGGGGCGAGGCTCAAATTCCTCTGCGTCGGGCCGGAAGCCCTCAGTCCCTCCGAAAGTGCTTCTAGAAATTCTAGGAAGAAGCCGGAGCTCCTTGGGTGAGGGCAACCTCAGAGCCAGGTTTCCAACCACCCCCCCCCCTTTGCCATCGCTTCTTTGGGGTCATGTCACTGGCACCGTGAGACTTTGGGGGGGGGCACCAAGGCGGGGATGAACGCTTTTCTCTCCACGATTGTCCCCACCAAAAGCCCCCAAAGCCTCTTCGGTGGTGGTCGGTCTCCGTCGCGCGACCGGATTGCTCGGTTGATGTCGGGCACCCGTGGAAAGGCCTGTTTTTTGCCCCTCTAGCAAGAAAAAAAAAAAAAAAGATAAAACTGACGACATTAAACGTTATTGTTGGAAATGTACTCTCTTGGGCTGCCCCCCTGACTAGGATAGTTAGACCGTCGCCCCCACCAGCTCAAACGACCGATTCCTGCTTTCTCCATGGTCTATTTGCACCAAGGCTGAAAAGGGGTATTCTCGGCAGGGAGGGGGTGGCATGGCGCGGGGTTGGGAACCCGATAGGTCTCCGACACCGCGCCTGCAGTCATCCGACTCATCTCAAGCTTCCCCCTGCCCCCAGGCCCCTCGTCGCCCGCAGAGGGATCCCGGGGCACAGGACTAAGCAGGGTCCCAGGAGGTGGGTGGTCGCCTGAGTTGAGAAATCGCTCAGTCCTTGGCCCTGTCTTGCTCCTCAACAACGCAGGCGGTCCGTGCACCCATCCTTCATAGGAGGGTAACCGAACCTTCATAGGAGGAAGTGTCGGGCCGGGGAGGGGGTTCCCCACCCCAAAGATGATCGGTGAAGCTCGGGCCACCTTGGGGTCCGAAACTCGTGGTGATAAATGGTGGTGGCACTGAGTGGGAGGGAGGCCGTTCCCTCTCTGGCGAATGGGGAAATTCTGGCTTGATTCCCTACGTTGAGTCGGGGCCTCCAGGCCGTGACCAGGAGAGCAAGGCACTTGGCTTGGCGCGGGATGCGAGGCCGGCCCCGAATACCCGCGCGTAAACAGCAGGAAGTAGGGCCCGCGCGGAGATTTATGGCAGCAGCCGGCCTGCGGCGCACCAAGCGCGTCTCAGTCCTTTCTGAGCCAGACAGTGGAGTGGAAGACCCGACCAGGGCCATAGGAAGAGGCCAGGGTCGGAGGCGGGGCCGAGAGGAGCCAGAATCCGCTGCGGCCAGGCCTGGCGCAACAGCYCCGGCTTTGCCCGCCGTGCGCCGGGGTCTTGGCTGCAGCAGGGCTCTAGCGCCGCGTCCCTGGTCTTCCTGGTGGGTCTGGGCGTCCCTCGGCCAGGCGCCGAGCCGCTGCTGGGCCAGACTCAGCTACAGACAGCAAGGATGACTGTCCCCAGTGCGGCCTCTCCGGGTTTTAGTGGCGCCCTGGCTGGGAGCTTCCCAGTTGCCGAATCTAGGACCTGTGGAAACTCTGGCCGAGAACCCTGCCCCGGCCTCCGGAGCCGGCAGCCGAAGCCGGAAAGCCTCGGGGCAGCTTTCGCAGTGGAGTCTGGATGGGCTCAAACCTCCCCTAGTCCTGGGGAAAGGCGGTTCGGGGCCAAGGGTGGGGCAGCTAGGGTGTCGGCATTTTGGAAAGGATCCGGGCTTTTTTCAGAGGGTGTAGAGAGAACGTGTCCATGCGGGCTGCGACACCAAGGTGCTAGAAGAACCAGGTTCAACCTTGCATTGGGCAGAATTAGGAGGCGTGGGCTCCCACGAGTCGGACCTGCTGGCGGCTGGCCCCGGTGCGGGGCTTGTGCCTACAAAGGCACCGCAGGGGAGACAGCGGGCTCAAGGTTGGCTTGTCCTTTGGCTTTACAACAAAGGGGGAGAGTTTTGTTAGTTGGGAAGCGACCTGGGGATATACAAAAGGTCTGGGCGGCCAGCCCGGGCCGTGGATAACCGCGTTGAGCCAGGCTCGCCTGGGTGGGTTCTCCCGGAATTGAGGTTTGAGGCTGCGTGGAGGTCCCCTCATCCCGGCCGATTTTCCGCCCAGTCAGTACAAAACACACACACCCACTGCGTCAACACAGTTTTTGGCCACTGATCCCGCGGGTAAACAAGCTAGAGGGGGTGGGGGTGGGGCGTGGAAGATGGCGCCTGGACTTGTGTCCTGGGCAGTGGACACCCGTACCGCGCGCACCCGTTTTTCACGTTTAAATGTGGCCCACCAGGGCGTGGGGGGGTATTTTCCTAGACCCAGTGGCCCAGCTAGGGTTGCACCAGAGGCTCCCCTGTGATGGAGCGGGTCTACGAAGGGGCCGTGGCTGCAGCCTTTACTCCTCTTGGGATCGGTCCCACGCCCCAAGATGGCTCCCGGCAGCTGTTTACTCAGCGGCTCCGGGGCACCAGGGCGCAGGGCCGAAGAGGGGGCAAAGACCAGGGCGCGCAACGGTTGGTTCCAGCGGGCCTGCCCGCGTCCCACAAGCGAGGCAGCCCCGGAGGAGCAGCGCGGGCAGGATCAGTCCTGTGCGCCCCGCCCCGCGGCCAGGACCCCGGAGCGGTCGCGACCCCAAGCCCCGCGCCTGGTGGCTAGAGGGCCGCGTGGCAGCTCGCGAGGGTGAAAGAGTGCATGGGGAGGGCAGCTCAAGGGGCTGGGGCGCACACATTCCAGCAGGGAGGGGGCCTCTTCTGTCCTGAATCGGGCCCTAATGAAATGCCAGCTCCCTTCGCCAAGCCGACGAGGCGCACACACTTGAAAAATGCAAACGCCATTGGCAAATCCAGGGCAAACAGGCAGAATTTTTATTAGCAACTAAATGATTTATGGCACACATACCCCGCCGTCACAATTACGGCGTCTTGGAGCATCCAGGGGTGAAAACATTAAACATTTATAAAAATAGGCCTTTGTTTTTTTTCCACCCCGCAAGTCTTTTGTATTATTCCCCACCCCAACTCTCGCAAGATACATATTTTTTTCTTGAGCTATATTAAAATAAAACCATTCCAGATCCCGGGCGGGCTAAGAGGGTGGGGGAATCAGGGCCTGCACTCCTAATATTGGAGGGCGATGGGGGCGGGGGAAGCGCTGGGGACTCGGGCGTGGGAGGGCTTACTAGGAACCCACAAAGGCCTCGGGATAAGACTCAAGGGCGCTGGGCGCCCCCACACACGGCCCCTTCCCTTGCTCTGGCTTCCAGCAGTCCCGCGCAGCTCAACTGCATTTATTTTATTTCTGCAGTCGCCCCCCTCCCCTAAGGCACACAGACACAATACCTCCTTTCTCTAACCCCCCTCTCCTTTCGGTCTTTGCTCCTGGCCGTCCTGGGGCTGCACCGGGCATCTCCCGCCGCCCCGGTTGCCACTGAGACCCGCGCGCCCAGCTCCAAGCGCGGACACCGCCGCTCGTTCCCCTTGGCTCCGGCTATTTTCGTTCCTTTCTCTCTTCACTCCTCCCTCCTCCCCCGCGGAGCTCCAGCTTCCAAAAGAGGGCAGCCTAGAAACCAGCGCAGGAGGATCCAAGAAGGGCAACTTGAAACTGCCCTCCTGAGGCCGAACTTTTTTCCTCAAATTTATCCTGGAATTAAATTAGACACCCCCAGTTCGCTCTCGAACCCTTCCCCCTTTTTTCTAAAAGTGGAGAAAAGAAAATAGAACGAATGGGCGCTAACTAGCTCATTTCCCCCCCCCTCCAGAAAAGTTGCCTTAAAAATGGATTAAAAAAATAGGAGCAATGCGAAAACGCTGAGTCCGCAGCGCGGGGCGAAAGAGCGGGCTTCTCTTGTTTTAATTAATTAAAATCCTATCACCACGGTTGCTCTCCGAGGCAGGATCAGCAGGATTTCTGCCCCTTCAAGCTTCTTTTCGAGGGTACGTAATGCCTAGCTGGACTCGGGTGCCTGCCGGGGCTGTGGAGAGGGTGCGGGGCCCCTAGGACTGTCCCTCCGGCAGGGTCCGCATTCCCTGCGCCTCTAGMCAGGTAGGTTTGCCGCGGGCAGCTCCCGGCTACTCAACCCAGAAAGGATTTTGCTGAAAGCGCAAAATAAAGTACAAAGTCTGGGGGATTGGGGCTCCCCTCCCCCTCTGGCCGCCGTGGCCAGCCAAGCACTTTTGGGCTTGGCTGCTGCTTCCTCTGAGCTCAACAGATTTTTTTTTTTTTCCCGGTCTCGCCCTCCCTGGAGGGGGCGCGGCGGATGGAAGGCGAGAGAGGCCCCCAGCCAAGAGGTTTTTAATATTACACTTTAATAGGTTTCAGAAGGCCCCGTGGAGAAATGCTAATAGGCTGAAATGTCAGAATCGAGAGGGATTCAGCTTGCGCTCAGCCGATCTAATCCTTTTTTCTGCTCTGATTTTTTTTTTGGGGGGGAGGGGGAGGGGACCGCCCACGCCAAGAGGGGCTTCGGGGAGGGGCGCGCGTTGCAGAAGCACCGCAGCCCCGGCCGGGGCCGAGAAGGGGGCGCGTCCCGGCCCGCGCGCGTTTCTATAGGAACCCCCTTTAGGAGATTAGACTCACCCGCTGCCCGCCGCCGCGGCCTCTCCAAAATATTAATCAGTAACCATCTGACACTGCTTTTCAGGGAGGGACCCGCAGGCCGGGACAAGGAAAACGGCCTTCTCGCCTGCCCATCCCACCCGACTGCGCTCCTGGGGGAGAGGGAATGAATCGCTGCTTTGTTTTAAAAGGAAGGAAAAGGAAAAAAAAAAAAAAAGAAAGAAAAAAGAAAAAGCAGCCCTTGTCTGTTTTGGCGTCTCCACCGCGCGTTCTAGAGGCGCACCCAGGGGAGGTGGGGGGCCGGGGCGTGGGCACTGGGTGCAGTCCGCCGGGCCCCAGGCCCTTCCCGGCTCGCTCGGCTTGTCACCTCCTCCTGCGAGCAGGAAGCTGACAGCCGGCCCATTAAACCGCGCCTTGCAAAGCCCTGGATTGCGGCGACAACCATCTTCCTCTATTTTGATCACTCAGCCCAGACGCTGGAGGAGGGGGGAGGAAAAGGGAGGAGAAGGAGGAAGGGGGGGGGCGAGCTGGTGGAGGGGGAAGGGCTGCCTAGAAACGGCCCGGAAAAATTCTCACCACCAGTTTTGATCATTCAGCCCCGCCGAGGGGAGCCTGGAAACTGCTGGAGCCCTGAGGTCCGTAATTGGTTTTATAGGAATGGCTGAGGGCCAAGGTGTTTACATGCGCGTGATGGGCGGCGCGCGCGGCCAATGCTCGGCGGCCGGGGGCTGGCCCTGGGGGGGGGGGGCGCCGGGGAACAATGCGTGTTTCTTCGCCTGCTAGGGCTCCCCTCCCCCAGCCCCCGCCTCCCCCCCCCCCGCGCTAGCTTTTTTTTTTTTTTTTTTAGATCCAGCGAGAGGAACTTGAAAGGGGGGTTGTGTAATGTACCTTTTCCAATCCCGGGCTGTATATGGAGATTTGGGATTCTTTAAACCGGCGCTACCTGGATTTTATTAAAAAGCGGGGAGCTCGGCGGGAGGAAAGCTGGCTTTTCCGGGGGCTGCGGGAGCCGGGCCGCGGGAGGGCGGAGGAGTTGGCGCGCCGAGCGCTCGGCCCGGGGAGCGGTTTTCTACCAAAAAAAGGAAAGGCGGGCAAAAAGTGTGAGGCGGCTGCGGGTGGCGGAGGGGAGCGGCGGCCGCGGGATGGCGGGCAGCACCGGCGCCTAGCTGCGCCGAGAGTCGGGGCTGCTACCGGAGTCGCTGTCGCTGGAGCCCGGAGCCCGGAGCCCCGCCGCGCCAGGTACGCCGCTGGTCCTCCGGCTGCCCTGGCCGGGCGCGAGGGTCTCCAAACTTTGCAGTTCGCACCCCACCACCCCATCCCGCCTGCCCTTTGGGTTGTGCGAGGGTTCCCGAAGCTGTCCGGCTGATGGGGACGAAATCGGGGACTAGGGGCAGAGGGCAAAGGGGGCCCTGGGAAGGTGAGGGCGGACTGCTGTTCCTTGGGCGCCCACCCGAGTCCCCAGTCCGCTACAGCCTGCACCACACAGCCGAGGGGCGTCGGTGCCCGGCAGGCGGCAGAGGCGGGGGAGCCCGGGACGCCGAGACGTTTTCGATTATAGGCTGTTTTTAATTAAAAGCCGGAATTCAGCCATTTTAACTGCATTTAAGAGGGGGAGAGAAGTAGGGAAAACGCAGCGGAGCCTGCGGTTGTCCACGCCAGCTTCTTTACCTTTGCCAGGGTTCCGGGGAGCTTCACCCCGACTCCCTCAAGCTAGGGCGCCTGGGCATGCTCCGAAGCGTTGGCTTTTAAAATAAAGCTTCCCTAAAAACATTATTAAAAAAAAAAATCTCTGGAAGCTCATCGCCTTCTTGAGACTTGAATCCTCGGATGTGACGATCTTAGATTTTTCCTAAGTAAACGCGGATCTGGTAACAAGAGCCTGATGCAAGGGAGCGAGGGGGTGTTTGAAACCCAAACCACGTTAAAATAGCCACCCTTAACAAAGTGGAGGAGGAGGCCGGGGGGGATCTGCAGCTAAGAGGGTCTGCAGCTCGAGAGGCTGGGCGCGGAGTTGGGGCGCGGGGCTGGTACCCAAGAGCGGGTGGCTTTGGCGCGATCCGCGGCTCCGGAGAGCCCCGGCATCCCGGAATCGGGAATCAGAGCTGCCGCAGGCGGGCAGACGGACAGCGAGGGAAGGGTGGGCTCCAAGATCCCCTCCCGCCCCCACGGGAATCTGCAAACAACAAATCTTTTAAACAAACAGCTTGAAACTGGAACTACAGGGGGATTTACCCAACGCTGGGGGAGGCGCCCCCCAGCCGGCCCGCGCTGCGAAGGTTTTCTTTGTAGATTATTTTTTGGGGTAGGAGAAAGCTAGGGTAGGCTCGAGATCCTTGATCCCCTTCTTTCCCCTCTGACGCCCCCCAAATCCCCCGCTCCAGATCAAGTCCTCGGGCCACAGGATTCCCAGGCTGGGGCGTTGGAAAATGAAACCAAAGCTTGTTTTGAAGGATTCTTTCCAGTCCTCAGGCGAGAATGCCACGTCTCGGGTCCTCGGACTCAGACTCTGAGACTCACGGTGACTGGACAGGGGCAACAGGAGGGGGCAGCGGGCCTCCTTAGAAATAATAAACCCGCTTCGCACCCTCCCTCCCGAAACAACAACAACAACGAAAAGCTCCAAACCAAACACTCCTTTGGTGGCTCTCAGGGCGAGCTCAGGAAAATCAAACTCAGAAAAGGGAGGCGAGGGCCCCAAAAGGTTAAATATTAAACTTTCCGGATTAGATAGTGACTTAGTGTTCAGGGAAACATTTCGAGCCGCTCATGAAAAGGTTTCACAGTTTAAAACCTCGAAGCATGTGACGCTCGGGAATAAAACACTTAAGAGGTTTGTATTTATGCTGTCCGGGTGCGGCTGGCCTTCCCCAGTTTCGGGAGGACCCAGCGGCTGCCGTGGTAGAGTCGGGTCTAGGGCGCAGTGCTCCACCGGTCACTTTTCTGAGCCAGATCACCGGAGCCTGAAGCCGCCGGGAAACGGAGCATGGAGTTTTACTTTTCGTGGAAAAGGGGCTACTCCCGATTTGATTTTTGGCCACCAGATCAGCAGCCCTAGACCCCGAAGGGCGAGGTGACTTTCTGAAACTTTTTTTTTTCTTTTTCTCCCCGCTTGTCTTCCTTGGCCCGTCTCCTCTCCCTGCCAAGACGCCGTGTGCCCAGTCTCTCGAAACTCTTCCTGGCCACCCAGAGGGGCCCCACCACCGGTCGTCTGTGCGCCTCGGGCCACCGGCCCGCCTCCGAGCGCAAGCCCCGCTGGCCGCCGCCATGCACACCGCGGAGCCCCCGCCACCCGAGGACTCTGGGACTACATCGAGGCCGAACTTTTAGATCCCACTGAGCAAGGCCGGCAGGCCAGGTGGAGGGCTGGCCGCGGCACTCCCGCGGAGGATGGATGGCCGAGACTTCGGGCCCCAGCGGTCCGTGCACGGCCCCCCGCCGCCGCTACTGTCTGGCTTGGGCATGGACAGCCACCGCGTGGGTGCGGCTACTGCCGGACGCTTGCCCGCCTCGGGCTTGCCCGGCCCTTTGCCGCCCGGGAAATACATGGCCGGCCTCAACCTCCACCCGCACCCGGGTAAGTGTCCCGCGCCTTGTCCACTCTTCCTGATTTCCTGGGATCCTGGGGAGGGAGGCCTGGGAAGATCATGGCCTGGGTTGGGCGCCTCTCGGCTGGCCCATTGGTGCTGGCGGGCTCAGCTCTCAGTACGGGGGAATCCCTGGGCCTGGGGCAAGGCCAGTTCCGAGGCCCCGACCAAGAGGTGCTCGGCTGTGGTCTCCAGCGCGCTGGACCCGCTTGAGATCCAAGAATCTGCCGAAATCAGAGCCACCAGGGGCCATGCCAGCCCCCGGGCTCCTGCGGCACTAGCCTGGGCTGGAGTTTGCGAAATCTGGGCGAGAAAAGAACAAGTCAGCCCCCATGCCCCATGAGACACCCGCTCCCCGAACTCGGATCTTTTTTCTTGGCAAACGAACGCCTTTCCCTACGCCCTACGCCGGTGGGCCCAGAGTTCTGCCCGCGACTCCACCACCAGTGCGGAGCCGCGGCCAGGAGATGCGGGGGGCGGGCGCACGGTGAACCCAGCTCTGGGACCCCAGTTTCCTGTTGGCTTCTGCGGGTCTCTCTTCCAGGAGTGGGAGGGCACTGACCCTGCGCCCAAGGGCTCGCCGCGCAGCAGGAACGCCAAGCCTGGCCGCTGCCTTTCTGAGCTTAGGGGAAAGAGGTGGTGCAGGGAGTGGATCCGCACGGAGCCTGGGCAGTGGAGGGGGTACCAGGGATCCAACAAGGAAAGGTGGAGGAGTTGTCCAAGAAGGCCCTGCAGCCTCCACCATCTCCCAAGAGAGGCTCTTGGGCTGCGGCGGAGACTGCACTGGGCGGGCGCCGGGCAGGGAGCAAGCAGTTTGCCCAGCCGGACGCCGGGCGCGATGGGAAATGTGACGCGGGGCCGCAGACTTGCCCAGCCTGGGTGGGGGAAGACGGGTCCAAATTGCCCGGCTGATTTCTGTGCCTGATGTTAAGGGAAAAAAAGTCCACCTCTTCTCCTTCAAACTGAAGTTTAGAACTTTTACGATTTCTCGGGGGAACTCCTGAAGCTCCTCTGGTCTTTGGTTTCTTGGAAGAGACACCTCGCCCCCCTACCCCCCCCCGCCCGCCCACCCGTCTGCGCTCACCGATTTTGCTTCTCTCTTTGATTTTTCTCCTGGAACTTTTCAGGAGCTGGAGTCGCAGGGGCTCGGCGGGACAAAGGGCCTTTGTGAAGCCTCCTGCGGGGGAGGGGCAGGCGGAGATCCCCGCTGTCGGGGCACAAGGACCTGGGCCCCCCCACCCCTGCTGTGTGCCCCGCCTGGGGGCAGCGACAAGGACCAGGGTTTTCTTTTGAATAGTGAGCTGCGTAGAGCGTGGGGCGCTGGGCACCCCGAGACAGGAATTGGGGGTGGCCTTCCGGTATACAGGCCATCTGGATCATCCCCTTGTGTGCGCCTGGCAAAGCCATGTTGATGCGTGTGCAAGTTTGCCTGTCTTTTCCATTCCTCGGGTCATGCAGTCCGACCCAGGGTGCTGGCAGGCCCTATGGTCTGGCAATCTGATCTTGGATCTCCCTGGCTGGCCTGGCTTTTGCTTGTAGTGCCGGCTGCGGGAGATCTGGCTGGGACCTGGTGGAGGCAGTGTCCTCTTGAGAGTAGTGTAGCAGTCACTACTCTGGGAGCGCCTTTTGCTCGCACTGTTGTACGGCAGCGCCTGACCTGGCCACTACAGTCCTACCGCCAGAGGCTCCTTTGGTGGATGAGGAGGCCAACGTGAGAACCAGCCGAGGAAGTCCAGCTAGAGGTGACCACAGAGTCCTGCATTGTGGCTTCCTGCCCTTCCAACGGCTCTGTAGGTTTGGCAGGTCATGCAATAAAGGCGGGAAGGCCACCCCCATCCTTGAGGCCTTGCTTATCTTGGAGGGAAAAGTGGGATCCCATGCCCCACATCTCCAACTGTAGCGGTGGAAGGGACACTTGGACCCCAGGCCAATGCCCAGAGCTGAGCCCATACTAATCCCATTAGCTACCAGGTGGGAATTGTACCCCATTCACTGCTTGGGGTGGAGCTTGATTAGAAATTCCTCAACCTAATGCTCTCCCTCCCCTTTTTCCTTGTGGGGTGAGGTGCTAATTTTTCTCTTACCCAGAACACCACCTTCTCTGTTCTTTGGCTGTCTGCTCCTTAGGTCTTGCCAGCATTATCAGCCCCATCTTTATTTGTTTATTTTTGTACAAAAAGCTCAGAGAAGCTGAGTGATTTGCCCGGGTCACACAGTGAGGGAGAGGCTTTGCTGGTTCCCTCATGGAGTTCGGTGGAGGGGCGGTGGCCTGTAACCCCGGTGTGCAGTCTAGGTTATTTGGAACAGCCCCTGGAGACCTCTGGAAACAGGAGGTGCTTTAAGCAGATTGGGTCTCTTCCTCTACAAGAGGTAAAGGCAAGAATGAATGGGGTTTGGATCAAAGCAAGGTGGCTTTTTCCTTTCCTATAACCTTGAGTATTGATACAGTTTGAGCAGTAAATATTCACAGCCTGGTCAGTGAAATGGATAAGTAAGTGACAAGCACCTGGGGGGCTGGGCTCTTTGCTCTGGGGTTGGGAGGCAGGTCACTGAGTCCTCATGCATTGCAATTAAAGAGCCATTAGCAGGATTTTGTACTTGGTTATTTATTCTCCCTGCCCCCACACCCTCGGCTGAAAGGGGGGTGGAACTCGAGGATCAGGATGGGGGAGGCCCTGCACTTTGGCCTGGCCAATGGACAATAGGGGGCCATGGGCCTTCTGCAGGGCCCATCAGATCCATCTCTGGAATTCAGCCTGTCAGCCTACTGGGATTGATTTAGAAAGATTAATCAGGACTGGCTGGTGGAGTGATGGGATCCTGAAGATAAGGGAGATTGGCTGAGCTCTTCCTTCTCTGGTTAGAGGCATCAAGGGAGGTCTGGGGAAGGTTCTAGAAAATGGAAGGGCCTCTTGAGACCCCTGGCTCTTGCTGCCTTCTGGTTTCTTTAGTTCCCAAGCACAGTGCTTTCCTCTTTCCTCACTTGCTCATTTACTTAGCAAATAAATCCCGAGTGCTTCCTGTGTACCAGCCTCTGCTTGGGGACCTAGGACGCGGCAGTGAACCAAACAGAAGTCTCTGCCCCCGTTGGAGCACATTCTAGAGTGGGGGCAGGCAATAAACACACAAATCACTGGAGGAAATAATTCTACATAGGGACACAGGCCACAAAGAAAATAAAATGCCGAGGGTCTGGTTTGGCCCAAGGGTGAGGGGCAGGGTCAGAGGGCCTGACCTGGGTGATGGAGGGAGTGATCCTTTTTGTGTGTGTGAAGAGCTGAAGAGTTCTGTGAAGGTGACAGAATGCAGAATGCACAAGCCGAAAGCTTGACCCAGGGAGAGTGGTTGAGAGCCCTCAGAAGACAAGATGGGGGAGGTGGGTCCTGACTCTCCCTGAAGGCCGCTAATGAGGTCTTGGAATTTTAAACTGTAGGAATGAGGAGGGACTCAAATGGAGGGACATTTCACAGAACTGGCCTGTACTCTTAACAAATGTCAATGGTATGCAAGACAAAGGAAGGCTGAGAACTGCTCCTGATTAAAAGACTTAAAAAAAAAAAAAAGTGACAGCTAAAAGCAGTTTACTGCCCTGGATTGGATCCTGGATTAGGGAAGAAATGGCTGTCAAGAAGATCATTCATGGGGGCAATTGACGAAATTGGAGTATGGACTGTAGATGAACCGATAGCATCAAATCAATAGGTTCCATGAAGTTGATAACTGCCCTGGTTGTGTAAGAGAGTGTCCTTGTTCTTAGGGAATAAGAATGCAGAATCATTTAGGAACAAGGGACACCATGCCTACAACTTCCTTGCTAGTTCAGGAAGAGGAAAAAAAAAATACCACTGAGATATACGTGAATGGATATGGGAGACGGTGGAAAATCAAATAACAGACCCGTTTTTCACAGTTGTTGGATCTGGTGAAGGTCATATGGTAGTTCATTGTACTATCTCAAACTTTTCTCTGAATTTGAAATTATTCCAAAATAAGCATTTTAAAAAATTAAGCTGGCTACAGGCCAGATACTGATAGACGAGGAGAGAAGTGGGGTGACTAGTTTGAGGCAAGGAGATTGCAGATGAGAGTGACCAGGGAGAGGAGCTGGAGATAGCAAGGGTTCTGGTGGCTTGTGGAGGTTGGGCTGCTTCTCAGACAGTGGAGGGCAGGGAGCAGGAAGGACAGCCCCTGGGTTTTGGTTAGAGCTGCTCCTGGGAGGGATGGGAGGAACAGTTTGGGGAGAGGGTGGGATGGGCTCATTCTTTGGAATATGGCTGGGTCAGGATGCTTTTGTCTGGTAGATGAGTCTGCATTCTAACCTGATTTTACTCCCACCCCGCCACATAATCATCCACTCAAACTCCAGCCCATCATCTGAGGTGCCGCAGCCCAGCTGTTAAAGGGATCAGTTAGAGCTGCTCTCTGGCCAGGTCTTGGGCTTCCCCAGGGCCTGTCAGGGCCCTGACCAGCAGTCAGTCAGGATCAGGGTCCTTTTATTCTTTTTCTTTTTGCAAATACTGGGGATCGAACTCAAGGCCTTGTCCCTGCTCTGCCTTTAAGCTACACCCCTACCCCAGGGCCAGGGTCCTTCATCACACCTGCTTCCTGCAGAGGTCTGGCATCTAATTTTGGAGGAAGAAAGGCCATCAGATTGGCAGCCACTAAATCTCTTTGCCACCTGTCCCAGGCCATGAATGTACCCACTGTTAAATCTGAGGTTCCTCATGAGCTAATGAAAGTGATCAACCCTTAGCTCAGGGAAAAAAAACAACCCAGAAAACAAATACCCGACTCATACACCCTCACTAACAATTTTACATATTTCTGAGCATGAGCCTGCTGACGCTCCTAACCCGCAATCCCTGATAATAGATTGCTTCATCAGGAGGCAGGCTGGTCTAGGGTCTGAGGTTTATGTCCTGCTCCTCCACTTACTGGGCATATATAGGACTCTGTAAGCCTCAATTTTCTCATCCATAAAGTGGGTTCA